CTAAACAAACGCTCACTGGTGGGAGAGTGATTCAGGCTGGACTAGGAATGGTGAGGGTCAGAGCCCTGGCCGAGGGCCCTTGACAGGTCTGTAACTCTTGGCTGCTTCAGCTATAAACTCACAAAACCAGACCTGCTGCCACCGTGCAGAGTTGCTGGGGATGGCAGCCTCCCTGCCATCAGGAGAGACACCTTGGGAGAACTACGGGTCACTGTCCACACACCATAGCACAGGATGCTCTGCTTGGTTGTCATCTCACCAAAAGATTCAGATCTTTGTCTTGGGAGACGTCATTTGGAGTTCTATAGCATTTGGAGTCCCATAAGCCAAGACATCCCCCCAAAGCGTTCCGATCGCCCATCTCCAGGCTCACAGGGAGAAAAATCTAAGGCTGGGAATGCAGCCAGCTCATAGCATTCAGACACTGGGCCCTGAGATGGGGGTCACTGAGCATGGAAGCCAATTAAGTCCAAGATGTGTGCCCTCCAGCCGGGCCATCTCTTCCTAGCACAGGCACAGTGGTATGGCCAATGCCGGAACTCTGCTTCCACTCCAGGCCCATGGAATGGAGCTCCCCCCATGCTCACTGGCCTAGGACTGGTCACTTTCAAACTCATTGGGTTCTTTTCTGGTCCAAAAACCAGAAAACTCAAGAGAAGCAATTGGAAAAACACTTCTAATTCCCTGGCACTTCACCTTTGCCTTGCTTTTTACTTGAGTTCCATCAAGTTCCCATATCTCCCTGACTCCTGAACTCTCCTCCCTGCTACCCTCTCCTCAGATGGTACCGTGAGAACCATGCTACGGTCCTGAGTGAACACCAATGGCAAAAGGCACTGCCAGTTTCCATGACTGAAATGCAATGAAGACAAAATGCTAACTCAAGTTTGTCGCAGAATAAAGTGTGTATAGTCAGCATTTTAAGAGGCTACTAGAAAGCACTTCCAGATCTTGGCAGTACAATTAAGTAGAGTTAAATTAGTAGAATGTGCAGTTGATGGGATTCGCTGTCTGCAAAAGTCATGTTAAAAGAGGAGTTAGTTACCTTTTGTCATGTTAAAAGAGGAGTTAGTTACCTTTTGTGATGGCAGAAAGAACCGACAGTGTGAGCCAGGAGGTGATCAGCATGGAGGCAGTGATGCCTGCTTCGAATGCAGGCAAGGTGCAACCTTGGCTGTGTGTACTTGTGGCGTTCAGAGAAGAGGGAGGTAGGAGGCAGCCTGTTGGTGGTGGTGGTCCGAGCATTTGGGAACAGGTGCAATGGTGAGGAGTTGCGTTGTCAGACTATGGGAAGGTGTTTGCTGGGTTAGGGACAAGAATACAGACTGAATATGGACTCCTGAGCTGATGCTCTGGGTTTAAATTCCAATTTCAACTGACCAATGGTGCAACCGTGAACAATACTGCACTTCATAAGCTTTTCTGACTTGCAACACAGGCTGCTGAAACCTTGCCACAGGTTGCTGTGAAGGTAGCCACAGACTACTGACCACAATGACTACTGACAGTGATATAATTACTGATAAATAACAGATTTCTTTAGCAGTCCCTAGAGAGGTGATTCACAGAAGCCAACCTGAGCAACCGTTGTTTTCTGATATAACAAATAAGCTCAATCAACTCCCAGACTTGCCATGCAGTTAGAACTTAGATGCACATGGAAACCAAATACAAAGCCTGCAAAGTAAATGCTATTGATGGGGATTGGAAGTTTTAAGTGATGTAAACCTAATGGACCATCAAAAAGTTCTTTTTGAGCCAGGCATTGGTAGCTCATGTCTATAACACTAGATACTTAGGAGGCTGAGACCTGAGGACTGTGGTTCAAAGCCAGCCTCGGCAGGAAAGTCCATGAGACTCTTTTCTCCAATTAACTACCAAAAAGGCAGAAGTGGAGCTGTATGGCTCAAGTGGTAGAGTGCTAGCCTTGAGCACAAAAAATCTCAGGGGTAACTCTCAGGCCCCAAGCTCAAACCCCAGGACCAGCACTCATACACAAACACAAACCTCCCTGACAGGGTCTGCTCATGAGTGCAGGTAGTGGATCACAGCCCTGACCTGCCCTTGGGAGGCTTTTATAAAGGCTAAGTGAGATAATGGGTGGAAAGTGCTCCTTTTCTAGCACACAGTAAACACTGCCTTGAACGTTTCACAACTGCAAATGTGCATTTTTGCTTTTAGCTCACATTGTGGTCATTGCTTAAATGAAACAGAACTCTCTACCTTGGGGGAGGGAATTCCCACACTGGAAAAACAATACATTTGTTCTGGTAGAAAAGAAGTTCACGTTTATTTTACAATGCAGTGATTTCCTAAAGTGTTACACATAAAAGGAAAGTTGAGCTGTCTTAGGAAAACAATATAATTTTAGGAAATTACAGAAGAGTCAACATTGTGCTTAGGACTTTAAAACAGACAGGTTTAAAAAGAATAGCACAGTAAGTGAATATTGCAAGGTCTGAAGCGCCTTAACAGAGTGTGTGTGGTGAGCACAAGAGCCCGGCAGCCCGAGCTATCTGTCCAGCCTGCCGGGAGCCTGCTTTCCTCTGAGGACAAAGCTCTGCCCCAGTAGAATGGGGCCCATTCCCCATGCCCCCAACACTCAGCCACCAGCCATGACAAGGAGCAGTGACCCTTTCACAACGGTGACTTAAGTTTGAGAAGTTCTCTTCTAGTTACATTTGGATTTGAGCAAAATTGGCAGGCCTGGACCCTGTCACACTAATAAAATAAGTAGGGCCCCCTGCCTTCCCTGACCCCCTGCTCACACTCCCCCAAAAGCACAACACATACCCAGCCTTCTTCCCCCCGCCCCCCAGCAATTCTGGACCAGGAGATAGGAAAGAACAATAACCTTTTTTCCTCATGTAAAAAAGCCAACCGTGACAAGGAAAGTTTGCAAAGAGAATGTGGGAATAACCCAGAGCTGGCCTCATAAATAGTATTTTGGTTTGTGTTTTCCTCCTGCCCAATAAGATCTATACTTCCAGAGTCATCTGGCTATTTTTTAAAGTGGCTGTTTGGACCTACTCTCTAACTAGAAAACTAAATTTGCCTAAGAGGAGTTTGTTCAGGTTAAGTCCCCCAAGAATTATGATAGTTCAAATCAATGAAGAGAAGTAGTTTAAGAAATAAAAACTAGGGCTGGGGATGTGGCTCAGTGGTAGAGTGCTTGCCTGGCATGCATGAAGCCCTGGGTTCGATTCCTCAGTACCATATAAATAGAAAAAGCTGGAAGTGGCTCTGTGGCTTAAGTGGTAGAAGGCTAGCCTTGAGCAAAAAAAGAGGCGCAGGGACAGTGCGCAGGCCCTGAGTTCAAGCCTCAGGACTGGCCAAAAAAGAAAAAAGAAAAACTAGCACTCCCAAAATATAATCAAATCCTTGATCAAATCTATAAGGTATATCAGGAAACAACTGGGCTTTTGCTCTGGTCTTGGTGGTGGTGTTTTTGTTATTTTGTGTTGTCGTCTTAAAACGGCAAGTCTCCCCATCCAAGAAAGCAACTGTTTGATGGTTGCCTTCAAATTTTTTATATCTTAAAAACTGTAAGGTAAAAGGGCTGGAGGCATGGCTTAGTGGAAAAGCATCTGCCTAGTAAGTGTGAGGCCCTGAGTTCAATACTCAGTACCACCAAGAAAAATAAAAATTACAAGGTAAAAAAAATATCTAGATGTGATAGTAAAACCTTGTTTTTCAACATAGCAAATAGTCATAACCACAAAAGCTTCAAAATTCCTTTGAAATTTCTCAGAAAAGTTATGCATGTATTTGAAAATTAGTATCTTGGTTAGGTAAGAAAGCCAATTCCACATTTAGTGGAATTAAGCTTCTACCCTTTCTACTAACTTTTCGAACGTGGGAATCATTCCAGCTTTCTACTACAGCCAGAGAGCAGTTTACCTGGGCCGGCCTGGCCCCTCCCCAAGACAGCACTTGCCGAGGTCCACACTGGCAAGCTTGCGTCTCTGTCACTGCACAAGTCATTTGTCAAAAGCCTATTTCACATAGCTGTGCTTAATGTCTATAGTACATGTTTCAATCTAAGTATTTCCTAAAGTGCTTATAAATATTGTTATACAAATCAGCAGTATAATATCAGGACCACAGAGAAATTCTTTCATATAACATAGAACAGAATAAGCCTAGAATTTAAGTTGAAATTACATTTTAATATCTTATTATTTCATAACATAGCATAAACAATTCTGGTTCAATCATATTTTAGTAAATTATTAGTATGAACAGTGCTAGAATTTAAAACAAAAAAACTTGTTTGTGCTTATTTAGAAAAGGCTGTTTTGAGATCCAGGAGTATCTGATACTTAGAATACAATGGAACGTCTCCAATTCTATAAAATAGTAAGTGAAGCTTAGTAATTATAAAGAGATTGTGCAAATATTTAAAGTGATTATTAACCATTATATCCAAAAATTGCATTAAAACAGTGGGTAATCTGAATGGCAGTTCTGGAGTTTATAAAACAGGAAGCTGACTAAAGTCAGCTACTATTGGTAAGGGGCCCAGGCCTGACCCATGGCCACAAGTCGGTGGCTTTGGATCACTGGTTGTAGACTCCAATTAGGTTAGGTGGCAGTGGGTCCCTAATAGATTTAATGGGGATAGAGAAGCAGCCCTGCCACTCCCACTCCCCAGGGTTCAAGGAGCTCACCCCCAGGCACATGCAGAGGGAGGCCCTGGTGTTGACCTGCCAGACCTGAGTGCAGGGTGGATGCTGAGCAGCTCACAGGCTCGGGGCCTCCATGCTGCCTTCAGCCAGCCATGGTTCAAGGGAAGCATTAGGAAACTGAGGCTGGGCTCATCAAAGGCCCTCGGGGCCACATCTGGCCAGGGGAATGTCCCTCAGGCCCATACACCTGCCCTCACCTATGCCTGGTCGTCTCTGGAGCTCCTCATACCACCTCCTTGGTTTAACAAGTTACTACATTTCAAGTGAGGGGAAGATGTATGCCGCATTCTCATTTAGCACACACACAAACAGAAAGGCATATATACTCTGCCTTTGAAGTCCTACAGATATTTTGGACACCTAAATCTAATAAAAATTTCTAGTAAACATTAAACTACACAATGCAGAAAACAAACTCCTCCTTGAGTACTTTGTGGAGGGTACAAAATGGAGGCCTCAGAGAAGATCCCAAAGGAACTAGATCTACTCTCCTAAAATACAAACTAATGTGACAAAGATGTGCTGCGACACCACCCGAACACAGATTGACAATGCCACTATGCTAGGAAGAGTCGGGACGAAGACACGCTCCGCTCCGGCTGACGTTTCTCATGTCATCAGGTGGCACTTGGAAGTTCCTGGGTTCACTGCGCCTCACAGACAGATTTAGGGAAGTGGTGGATATGCAACTCACATGAGGATCTCTGGCAATACGGAGACGAGCGTTCTGAAGAGAGCTGTATAAGGAAGAAGTGTTCACTATCGTGTGTGTGAGAAAGGGGCACATACGTGGACTATGCGGACCGTGAACATTCATGTGGTAAAGTGAATAATACACAAAATATTTTCTCCTTAGAAGTGAACTAGTTCAACTTTTTCCATTTTCATTAAAAAAATCCATGCATCATAAACTGAATTCTAATCCATTTCTCATCTAACCCATTCTAATGCTTCATATAACCAAATGAAGCAGAATTAATCAAACCTATTAGATTCATTCCTAATCCCTAAAGGACTTTCATCTTTTAGCATTTCCATGCTAACTAAAAACTATTGATTTTTTTAAGATGTCAGATGTGACTGCCTCATAATTACAATACCGATCTAAGTTCTTAAATGTTTCCCAAGGTTTGAAAAATAAGGAAAAGCAGAGAAATGCCGGGAAACCCATCCATGAGGCCAGCTCCAACGCTGCAGCACCTGCCTCTAGCTAAGTCCTTAACTCTGTCCCTGGGTACCATGATCTCCATGAGCGTGTCCCGTGAAATGCAGACCCCTTCGTGGTGGGAATTAGGTCTTGTCCGTTCTGTATCTGGCGCTCAGCTAAAGCTCCACTGAACATGACACTGAGGTGGTATCTCGTCCCATGTGAAGATGTAGCTCAGCCCGTGTAGCAGAGGGTTGTGTGTGTGGACACAGAGGCCAAACTGGCCTCTATCAAAATCCAGAAGTATGCTGAGGCAGCTGACCCAGGACAGGTGGTAGGGACAAGGGGGAAGGGGAGAGCGACATGGACCACTGTTCCCCGAGGGAGCAAACTGCTTCCCCTGGGGAACTAGCAGGACAAGGGTGCAGTGACCATGCCAAAAAGACAGGAGCCTTTCTGCAAAGGACTGGCTGTGCAGTCTGGGTAGCTCCTCCATCCAATCCAGTGTGTTCTGTGATCGTCGCTGCTTTCAAAGTTCCCAGTGAAATTAAGGTTGGGTCACAATTCCTGACACCAGATGCTACATAAAAAGATACAAAAGAAAACCATTACAATAAAAACTGTCTAAGTTATCAGCCTGATTTAGAGTGACACTAATCAGCAGACCACTGAACTGCTATGGTTGGTAGAAGGGATAGAAAATACCAATAGCATTGGAAAAGGATCCAACAGACAAAAGTAAGGAGTCCAGTGCGGAGCAGAGGCCGAGGCCGAGGCCGAGGCCCCCCTGGACTCACACAGTGGTTTCTATTGTTTCAATCACTTCCAGATCAGACTGGGAAGGGGAGAGAAGGGTGCACTCATCCGGCTCCCAGCTGCTCTCAGGACTGTAATCTTCCTCGGAACTCAGTTCTGCTCCTTCTTCCGTGTCCTCATCACACGATTCCACATAGTGGGCTCCAATGGCATTGATCCCGGAGTCCTCAGAACTCGAGGGAGAAGAGCAGTGATCTATTTTTGGTGTATTGCTCTCTTTTGAAATTAAGGCATCGTGTGCAGAGACCTCCTCGGGGCTCAGCTTGTGGGAGTGCGGCACTGGCTGCTTCTGCACATAGCACATCTTCCCATTAATACACTTCACCTGATAGTTGTCGATGAAGAGGTCTGAGATCATACAGTACCTCGGGGAGTCAGGGGGAAGGGGAGGCTGGAAGACAGATGCAAGTTTCAGAAAGTGTTCTGTGAGCGAGACAGAGATCTGAATGGTGTTTGTGGGTTCTCGAGGCCTGGCAGGGATCTCGGTGCTTGGTAGCTGCTCCACAGGGGTCATAGGCTGATACACGTATTTGCCTGTGGGACACAAAAGAGATGTTGAAACGTCAAGAGTATGTTCTGAAGACTTATGTTTCCTGAAACATTTCAGTAACATCGAGAAAGAAAACAGGAATAGAATCAACAACATTGCAGTTAAATAACTGTAGTATAAGAAACTGTATACGTAGCCGGGCGCTGGTGGCTCACACCTGTAATCCTAGCTACTCAGGAGGCTGAGATCTGAGGATCGCGGTTCAAAGCCAGCCCGGGCAGGAGAGACCTTGAGACTCCTATCTCCAATAAACCACCAGAAAACCGGAAGTGGCGCTGTAGCTCAAGTGGTAGAGCGCTCACCTTGAGCTGAAGAGCTGAGGGACAGTGCCCAGGCCCAGAGTTCAAGCCTCATGACCGACAAAAAAAAAAGAATCTGTGTATGTTCTGAAATTTATATTTAAGTCATTCTAATTGCTCTGAGGAGGTATGTGGTAGATACTGTTTTGTCTTTACAATCAATCTTGAATGTCTTATCATATTGGAACAAAGAATGACTACAGTATAGTATGGGAAAATACACAAGCTGTAAAATAGTATACAATAAAATTGTAATTGTGTGTGTGTGTGTGTGTGTTGATTCCAGGGCTTGAACTCAGGGTCTTGCATTCTTGCTTAGCCTTTTCTATTCAAGGCTGGTGTCCTACCACTTGAGCTACATCTCTACTTTTAGCATTTTGCTGGTTAATTGGAGATAAGAGTCTCAAGATTTGTCTTCCCCAGTCTGGCCTCAAACCTCAAACCTCAGCCTCCTAAGTAGCTAAGATTACAGAAGTGAGACACACTGGCTCTACAACCCCATGTTTACCTTATCTTTATTAAGTTAATACATCTTGAAACTGGATGACTAAAAATGCATCATCAGAATTACAGGAGAACATTCACTTAGTAGATTTCTTTTTGTCTTGCTTGCAGTGCTGGAATGGAACCCAGAGCCTTGCAATGTCTCTGAGCTACACCTCCTATGCCTAACTTTCTGGGCTTTAATCAGAACACATGCAAATACTTATCCAATGGGCAAGAGTGTTGTGGACTGTCCCAGCAAGCCTCCATGCTTGGGGAAGGCTGAAGTTATCACGATGCCTCTAAAGACTCAAAGTGCATTAGTGGCCAGTGTTCTCAAAGTTGTTCTCTCTGACCCAAAAGCCACTGGTGTGCAGTGGCCTCAGACAGGCAGGGGCACAAGCACACGCAGCCAGCTGCCATCTTCCCAGAGAGTCTTCCCCTCTGCTCTCAGCACTGCTTCTCAGTTGCAGGTAAGTGAAATGTGTAATGGGTCCATTTCCTTATTCTTACTTCATTGAGCAAAATTTCCACATGCCAAGTGATGGAAGTTACCCAGTCTGTAAGTATAAAATGATTAAAAAAAAAAAAAAAAAAAGCTAACAGGAGAAAATGGCCCCCCAAGAAGACAGGGTAGCAGCTACTGTAATAGGTATCACCTGGGGATTTTCCTAATTCACATGATTCCCCATTTACATCAACAATCCAAGGCTACACATATTGTGACAGAGCTTTCTTTTTTTTGGAGGGGGGTGCAGTGCTGGGGTTTGAACTTTTGAACTCAAGGCTTGAGGCAGGCATTCTTCCACCAAGACACACTTCTAACACTGGTTTTCACTGGTTGTTTTACAGGTCTCCCTTCATGCCTAGATGTGTAGCCTGGTCTGCAGTGCACTCGTTTTAGGCTTCCTGTCACTGCGACATGACAGATGCAAACCATCACATCTAGCATCTCTCTACTGAAATGGAGTCTCATTGCCTTGAACCTTAATTCTCCTATTCTCAAGTCACTAGGGTTACAGAAATGAGCTGATGGCTCTCCGTGTGATAAAGGTTTTTAACCTTAGCATTACTGGCACTGTGCTCCAGTAAACACGATTGTGGAGGCTGTTTTAGGCACTGCAGGTTGTTTAGCGGCATCCTTGTTCTCTACCCACTCAACTGGTGCCAGTAGCAGCTCTTCCCCAGGCAAGACAACAAAAATATACCCAGACATTGTCTAGCAGTCCAAGGAGCAAGCCCTGTCAGTCAACTCACTGATTTATGGTACCCTTTTTGAAAGCAAACCACTCATTCATCCTGTGTCTCCTGCTTCTGAGTCCTTGGTTATACTGAAGTTCCTATGAAATCAAACTTAGGGTCTTGTTTTCTTAACATTAATGAAGCATGAAAGAATAGCAACAAATCACACGCCACTGCTAATCTACCAAAATCAATCTAGCCTGCTTATATTTTTTATTTTGGTTTCTTGACTCCTATACAAAAAAAAAAAAAGATGCCACAATTTCTTCATAACTAAGTTACTCTAAAAATATCTTCAGCTTCATCCTGGAGTATCACACAGAAAAGGCATATTTAAAAATGGCTACACCTCTGGGTTCCCAGGCTTGGAACAAATATGCAAGCCATATGGTCTGATAAAGTTGGAAGTCAGAAGAAGCTGGTCACACTGCCTGGGGAAGTCTATTTAAAATCTACCAGGTGTCTCTGTGCTTCTATGGATGGAGATATTACCACTTGTCAGGCAGAGGTGAAGGTAGGTCAGATCTGACAGCTGGCATGGGGGGACCCTCACCTCCAAGACTGAAGGCATAGAAGAGGCAGGCCTTCAACCCTACAAGGCCCAGACTTGGGAACAGAGGAGACACCTTTGGACATAGGGCAGAGAAAAGATTAGCCTTTCCTGCTGGAGTGTCAAAAAAATGACAGGAATGAAGGTTTGGTTGTTTCTGTTCTTGGCCAAAGGCTACTGAGCTTAGGAAGCTATCTTCTACCAAAGATTTATTGTAGGCTGCTGCCAGTGCTCACACCTGTAATCCTAACTACTCAGTAGGCTGAGATCCAAGGATCTAGGTTCAAAGCCAGCCAAGGCAGGAAAGTCTGTGAGTCTCTTCCTTCCAATTAGCCACCAAAAAGCTGGAAGTGGAATGTGGCTCAAGTGGTAGAGTGTTAACCTTGAGCAAGAAAAGCTCAACAATAGCTCCCAGGCCCTGAGTTCAAGCTGGTGCAAAGGAGAGCGTATGCACATGCACGTATGTGTACACACAGAGGATTTATTTTAGCATAACAAGAAACATTTCTGCTTCCCCAATAAATGGGAGTTAAAGACTTGTTAATTTTTTTTTGATACTGATATTACTCAAAAGCCAGATGTGGTACTGTGGCTCAAGTTTAAGAGAGTTAGCCTTGAGCAAATGAAGCTCTGAGACAGAGCCCAGGCCTTAAATTTAAGCCCCAAGAAACAGTATTGGGGATTTGAACACAAGGCCTTGCAATGGTTGGCAAGCACGTTTCCACCTGAGCCACTTGGTCAGCCTTTTTTGTGTTGGAAGGTTTATTTCACTTTATGCCTGGGCCAACCCAGACTAGGATCCTCCTATTCGTGTTTCCTGGAGTCAGTAGAATGCGAAGAGTATACTACTATGCCCAACCACTGTGCTTTACCCATAGCTCCTATAGTACCATCTCAGCCATTGATTGAGATAAAGTATAAAAAAATTTTTTTTCTTAGCCTGAACTGCCTTCAAAACTATGTCCTTGGGCTGGGAAGGTGGCTCAGTGGTAGAGTGCTTGCCTCGCATGCATGAGTCCCTGGATTCGATTCCTCAGCACCACATAAGCAGGGGGGAAAAAAGCAAGAATGGAGCTGTGGCTCAAGTGGTAGAGTGCTAGCCTTGAGCTGAAGAGTGCAGGGACAGCGCCCAGGCCCAGAGTTCAAGCTCCACAACTGGCAAAAAAAAAACAACTATGTTCTTATATCTGCTGCCCAAGTAGATAAGATTACAGGGCTTGAGCTACTATGCCTAGCCGTGATTCAATACTTCTGGTATTTCTCAAATAAAATCCTATTCAAGCCAATAAATAAGTAGCTTCCACTGTTCTACATTGACAATAGCTCTGATTTTCCCCTTTATGATATTTGGCAATAATTTATAACACACTTCTCATAATAAATATGTTAATGAGGGCTGGGAAGGTGGCTCAGTGGTAGAGCGCTTGCCTTGCTATGCCCGAGACCCTGGGTTCGATTCTCAGCACCACATAAGCAAAAAGAAAAAAGCTAGAAGTGGTGCTGTGGCTTAAGTGCTAGAGCACTAGCCTTGAGCTGAAGAGCTGAGGGACAGCGCCCAGGCCCAGAGTTCAGGCCCCATAACTGGACCCAAAAAAATAAAAAAATGTTAATGAGACTTAGATTTATATTCTCAGACTGGATACACTGGAATGCCAACTACTTGGGAGGTGGAGATTGGGAGGACTGTGATTTGAGGCAAACATGGGCAAAAAACAAACATGCTTGTTTGTTAAGCTATACAAGGAGGCACAGGTAGAAAATTATGGTCCAAGACTGGCTCCAGCCAAAAAGTGCAAGACCCTAGCAGAAATGACTAACACAAAAAGGGTTGAGGGGAGTAACTCAAGAGGTAAAAGTGGTTGCCTAGGAAGCACACGATCTTGAGTTCAAACTCCAGTACTGGAAAAAAGAAAAAAAACCACAAAGATTTATATCCGTATCTTGGTTCTTTGGTTAAAGAAAAGAATAAGGATATAAGAGAGTTGTTACATACTCAAGCTCATACAGTAAGACAGAGTTAGTTCTCAGACCTAGGCCTTGAGACCTTCTGGGCTCTGCATGCAGGAGGAAACCATTAGCTCAGCCCTAAATAATACCCTAACATCTCACAGCCATTCCCTACCACTGCTTCAGCTGACATCCCACAACTGTAGTCGACTGTAATTACATTGTTGACACAATTGCCTGAAGATGTTTCTTTCAGTTGTAAAGCAAAAAGGGAACCAAAAGCACAAAAATAAATATAGAAAGCAAGCCAAATAAATGTACAATACTCATTAGGCTATTTTATGCACCTTGTTAAAATGTTTGTCTATAATCAGTTATATATTTTGATCTCCCCTTAACCCCCACCCCAGGTCACAGGGCTTGAACTTGGGGTCTGAGCACTGTCCCTGAGCTCTTTTGCATA